TCATGTATTTGTATTTTTTCGATGAGATTACATATATTCAATCTGAGCTGCTTTATTGAACACAATTAATCGTTTAATATTTTGCAACAGGAGAACACATTTTCTATGATAATGATTATCAATAACTATTTAATTATACATTAAAATGACGTATGATAGACATGAAAACTATTTCGGAAGGTCATAATATCATAATAGAATGATAAAGTTATTGCAACAAAATCGTTAACTTATTCTTTTCAAGTAGATAGACAAGGTTCATAATAATACGAACATGCATTTCCCCGATAGTAAAAGTATTTGACTTATTCTTCTAATCGTGAAATGATTACCATAAGATAGAAAATTGTTTTGTATGATTTATCAGAAAAAGTTAAAGTTGATCACATATCTATTTGATAGTTGACTTCATTCTAGCAACTTTTTATCTTTCTTGAGCCTAAATTAATTATTGTACTTTCTGTGTTTGCTCATTTAACATCGAGTAAAACAATAAAGAAACTAAGCAGCAAGCCTGAAAATGTTTTTCTTCTTTTGTTGTAATTTCTGTGTATATCACATGACAATGATAAACTACCATCTGTTATTTGTGATCGTTCTATACATTTGTTTGAAGAATTTCTAAAAATCATCAGAAGTACTGGTTATATAATAGAGAAACCCATTTTTTTGCAAGTTTTATTAGTCTCATCTCTGTTGACGCTGTTGTTTAGGTTTCCATCAGACACAACCTCGCTAGGATTACGCAGCATAATGAATAATCTAGTTGTGAATATGTTTGAATTCCTTATATTTTCGTCACAAGCAAATATTTCAGAGCTAAAAAAATCCATTTTGATGAATCGATGCACTTTGGACACGTTGAAACGGCTTTTTTTATTTTTCATCTCGAGTTTTTAAAAGTAGAATTTGTTTTCGTTTGTTTTATCTGCTAATCATTTCTTTTCACGTTTTCATAGTTTTTTATTTTCTGACGTTATTTCATATTTCTTATTATATCCACATTTGATTTTATGTCTTCGTGTTTTAGTTTTATTTCAATCGCAAATCGCTGCTTTGAGATATTTGTCTGATGCCACTTAGTGGATTATTTCTCCTTTTATATATTTAGTGAGAGTTTGACTTAGTTGATGAATAGATAGATATTCTTATGTTCTCTGAAATCATAGAATTTCTTTGTCTTAAATAAAATTACTGAGTGTTATTTGAAGTCAATCAACTATATGAGTTATTCATTCTTTTTTTTATTTACATTACCCAGAAAAGAAAAGAAATAATCTTCGTCTATGAGTTTCGTCCGTTCACGCTATGAAAGATAACAAAAATAACTAATAATAAAAGAGAATAATTATTAGTCGGGGTGTGGATGTGGGTGTCACTGTAGCGAACGAATTCACCCATGCCCACACCCACACCCTCATGTTTGGACATTTTGACCATCAAAATTTTCTTGTCAACTAAAATGCATGTGTTATTCAAAATCAGCATAAAAAACTGAATCGAATAATCTAAATTTTATTACAAAATACTTTTCATTGAAATGCGATCCAAGCGGACACCCCGATGAGGGTGGGTGTGGGTGAGATGTGGATGTAGGTTGGTGGGTGTGCGCGTGTGAGGTGTGAGTGTGTCAACAGAAGACCCACACACACTCACACCCACACTCCACACCTACCCACACACACCCACACCCACACCCTACATTTCCGAAAGTTTAGACATCGATAAAGCGTGCTTATCATTTAAGACAACTTGAAAATTGTTATCTGTTGTTGAACCTTCAAAACCAACTATAATGAATGTTGATGAATTAGTCATATTTCTAAATAAATGAAATTTGTCAAATATGAATGGAAGAAAAGTTTGAAACGAACGAATATGATCAAAATGGATAAAGATGACCAAACATGATTCAATGAACGATGAAAAACTAAAAAGAAAAGCAGATTAATTCAAAAAGAAATCAATAAGATTTACTAAATCGAAATAGAACAAAAAGATCGTGTAGAATATGATCGATTAAATGAAAGATGAAAAACTAAAGAGAAATATGAATAATGTGCAACAGAATAATTGGAATATACAGACAATAATGCAACAGAAAAAGAAAGACGATGAAAAGCTGAATCAATCTAGAAATATGAAATAATTGTCAGATGAATAATAAAAAAAATCGAAGTAAAAAGCTATGAGAATATTAAGCAATAAACGTATGAATCAACAGAAAAATACAAACTAAAAAGAGAGAAAATATTTATTCGAGTATAGAAACAAAACAAACACATGTCAATACGAGAAGAAATCAACAGAACATCATGGATCGATTAACAAGACATTAACCTAAATTAAACACAAATTATTCAATGTAGTACAAAAATTTAGGACGAAAGTGTTGAATAAATAAGAAAGATTATTTGTAATCTTCGAAGACTTTTCACCCACTTTCTTTACTACATTTTTACGCTGTAAATATATTGTGATGAACTCCAAATGAAGGTTTTTATGCTTGTTGTGTCCACTTTATGATATGCTGAATTAGATAATCTCATCAACCCATGGCATTGCTATTCGAATAGTTTATGTTTTAATCAAATAGCAATTAAATAATAAAGAGAGATTGTTCTATTTCTTAAAATAAATAGGAATAAGAAAAAGCTTCAATTAAGCTTATTATCTATGTAAAATAGTATGTTAGATCGAGACTCAAAGCGATGATGAAACTAATAATCTCTATCTCATATATGACTATTAGATTTCTCATTCAACTAAGATTCTTATTTGAATTGTTACCATACTAAAATGAATATAATGATTGGATGTGATATTTATCTTATTGGCCAATAAAAATAGAAGATCATTATTTAGATATAGTTCTTAGATCATCAAACAGTTATTATTATGATTCTTCCTCTGATATGGATTTTGTTAGTGCAATAGGTCTCTTTTAAAAGTTCTTTATCATAAATAATAAATATATAGTTTTAATCAAAATAACAAAAAAATTTCTTTTCATTTATATTTATTTGAAAACAAATATCTAATTATTCAAGATGTAATTGAATAGTATCACGATGATCACGTCGTTGTGCTGTAACTAAAGCTGCTTCACCTTTAGTACATAAACGACGATGTTGTTGTTTTAATTTTTTCTTTAATGTTTGTTTTACTTTTGCTCGTATATAATTTTTATCTATTGATAATTCCGCTAATTTTTGCGATGTTGATATTGTTGATTGATTATCATCATGATCATTATTTTCTTCGAATTCTTGTTTATTATCATCTTGAAATGGTTTAAATTGATGATTTTCATTTTCATCGAGAATAGGAGATGATAAAAGATGATTACTATCAATCATTTGTGTTAATTTATTCATTTCATCATTTTCAGGAAGAGATGATGTCGGTTCTTCGTCTATTTCTTCATCTTCATCATCATCATCGTCATCATCATCATCATCATCATTTTCTTCTTCAACTGAATGGTTATCATTGTCAACATCTTGCCTAAGACCTATTGTTTCGGATACCTAAATCAGATGAAAATAATAAATTTAAAATACATGCAAATATAAATAATCAACATTTGCACATCGAAATAATGAACATTACATACAAACTAGGATTGTGAAGCCTGATTTAGTCACATTAAAAATTAAAGACTTTTGAATATTGCAAAAAAAACCGATTGAGTTCACTGCTTGACATAGCAACTATTTTGCTCAGCATAGTATTTGAAATTGTTCTCTAACATCGTCTAAGGTCTTGTTGCTTCACTATAACTCATTTAGTTGTTAATATCCTTCCTTATTGAATATCAACGTAGACATTAACAATATTAGTTGCGTATGCATCGATTTTCGAAATCGAGTTCAATTCATCCATGTTTAGATCTATGCTAGTCTCGAAGTGTAATGAAATTGTCGACATTAGTTCTATTCATGTCTTAACTCTATTGACATAATATAAGTTATAATTAGAATTCGTGCATTACGTAAATATTGTTTCCTGACTATAATAAATATATAAATGCCTAGGAAACGCAATTAGTGTAAAGAATGATCATCTCTGATTGAACTCATATTTTACTTATAGTGTAGATAAAAATTCTAAAAGCATTCGTACCATTAGGGTTTTCTTTTCAAGTTATGATCGTTGTACTAAACTCTCAACCTATTGCAGAATATCACGACAAAAATCGCAACAAGAAGTTTCGGTCTGAAATGTCTTCCCAACCATGACTTTCATAGATTTCATACAAGAGTTCTCAAATTAGCCCAGTTTTTAGGCATATGATATTTTAAGAAGAAAAAATCATTCATTTGAGCCGAAACTCCATGTTACAATTTTTCTCGTGATATCCTGAAATAGACTGAAAGTTCAGTAAACTGACCATAACTGGAGAAGAAAAACCTAATGGCACGAACTCTTTCACAATTTTTATCTACACTATGAGCTTAAATGAAGATTATTAGGCGGATGAATTCCTTCGTTATATAGTGAACACCTTTACTAAAGTTGAATGTGCGATTCTATTCTTAAAAAAAATAAAAATAATAAATGAAATATTACTTGTTCAAATTGTTTTTCTAATTCTTTTGAAAATCCACTTGCTCTTACATCATTATCAAGTGAATGTAAACGTCTAAGAAAAACAATATCGTTTGTTTTTTTTTCTAAGTATTAAAAAATAATAATAATTAATCTTACTTAATATCAGCAAATTTTGGATAAAGATCAGTTTCAAAATGAAATCGACGTCGAAAAAAATCTCGAATACATTGAACATCACGATCAAAATAATATTCAGCATTTATATGTGATATTGATACCATTTGTGGAAAATCAATCATTGTTATATGACCATTATCATTTATCATTAAATTAAATTCATTAAAATCTGAATGAATAAGTCCATAAGATGCAAGACGAACTATAATTGACATTAATTCATCATAAATTTTTCCTGGTTTATCAATATCTTTTATATTACATCTAGCAAATATGATAAATCAACAAAAAATATAATAAAAAAAAAAGGAGAAAGATTTACTAACAATGGATAACCATCAATCAATTCCATAACAACACAATGTCGATTCAAATCAATTGGTTTTGGTACAGAAAATTTATGTTCATGTAAAACCTATAAAAATAATTGTTGAAAATAAATTAATCATATTGAAAAATATATATATATACTTTGATAAAAGCAAATTCTTTAATTGCAGCAAGTCTTGCAAGATATAACCAACTATAAGCTTGTCTATGTTTAAGATAATCACGTTTATTTTTTAATTGTCGAAAACATGTTCGACCTAAACTAAATAAAAAATAATATAGTAAATTTTAAAACTTTTTTTTTTCTTATTGAAAAACTTCTTTTCTTTACCGATGTAATTTTAAAATCATTTGTTCATCATTTTCATTGGCAACAATATAAACATCTTCAAACAAAAAAAAAACTTAATTGATAATAATAAAATGTTTATTTTTCAAACCTGATTCTTTTCCAACACCAACTTGATTTCCAACAGAATAGATAATATCTCTTGAAGAAAGTGCTTTCAATGCTAAATAATCATAACCAAGATTTGTTAAACGATAACCTTCATTATTAGATGATTTTCTTTTTGCTGTTGCATCATATGCAACTAATTTATAACGAACTAATTCACGTAAAATTTTATGACAACCACCATGTTTAAGTGATGCTATAACAGCTATTAATTGTAATGGCACTAATTCATGATTACGCATACCCATTTCAATCTAAAATAAAATCATTCTTTTATGTTCAAATTTCAATTAACAAAACTATAAAATACAAGAATATTGTTTCTAAAATCTAATTATATATTCAGATAGAATTTGATGTTTTGTATTTCTCTACAATTGACAATGTTTCATCTGCAATTATATAACTAATCAATCATATATTACTGGTAAACATGTCAAGATGATTTATTAATGCAATGCATTTCAAACATCTATTAGAAATATGACGATGAACATTTCTTAGTAAAATACAAAAACCAGTCGATTGAAACTATAATATGTCAAGAGAACATCTGAGAAACTCAATATAAAATTATGAAATTTGCCAGAAAATAAAATTTTTATGAATATTTTCTAAGGATTTAAAATAATATAAATAAAAACTTACTGCTGTTAAAACTCGATAATCTTCTGCAGTTAAATATCGAATAAGTGAAACATCAAATTTTCCCATGATGAATAAATTATTCTTTTTTTTTCTAAAAAGACAAAAAAAAATCTGTACATATGTGGAACAAAGTGGATGTCCCTATTCTGCAGTAGTACACACACACATTCGTCGATATATAGAAGTGAAGCAAGAAATGACGTATTTTTTTGGCTTTTCGAATCATTTTTATTGGCTAGAATGATTGTGAAAAATTAAAATTTATTTTAATAATTAATTAATATTATTCATTAACGTTCTATTAAGATTGAAAATATCAGATAAGAAAATTAATTGAAAATATTTTAATGTTTTTAAATTCAGAGAGGGCGCTAGTTTATATTGAATCCTAATGATGTTAATTCATTTAAGTTAATTTAGATATTACTGACAGAATTATGTCACAATAATGATAGGATAAAAATAGGTAATATAGTTTCGTTTATAGATAGGCGTGAGAAAGTTATTGTTATTTTTTTTGTTATTATAACAATAACATTCACTTTTTGATTCAAAAACATTAATGAAACAAGTGTAAGCATAGTTTGTGCGTAAGTCAAAAAATTACTTTATTCATACAGTATCTTTATTACCATTTGATATAAGAATCA